CCCTCCCTCCCTCCCTCCCTCTCTCTCTCTCTCTCTCTCTCTCTCATCAAATCTAATTTTCAAGCATGTTATATGCTGTGCAGCAATCCAGATGCTCTGTGGAACTGCGTTATTACCTGAGGCCTTTGCCACCTATCCCCACCACCCCTTTTCTCTCCCAGTGAGTGCTTCTGCTTGCTCTGGGGCTCATCAAGGAGCATAACTAGAGCAGATCAGTTTCCATGGCCACCCAGAGCAGTGCAGTTGGGCTGAAGCACAGCAGCTCCAACTTCCTTGGATTAGCAAAAACAATGAGAGAGTGAAAGGGGAGGATTTATCGCCCAGGCTGTGAAAATCCTCTGCAAACCATCAGATAATGCGTGCGTTTGCAGGATCAAATGTATTTTTCCAACACGGCATGTAATTGAATGTAGAATTTGGGAGTTAGAGAGAGGTAGAGATCCATGCACACTGCTCCAGCTATAGGCAATCTTTACAAAGCTGGGGGAGGGGGCAGAGAAACCCACTGCTTTTGTTCTATTTTATTTATAAGTTCGTCTCCCATCTCCATGGGATACATGGAGACAAAACAATAACAATATCAAGATACATGGTTGACAAAAAACAATTGTAAATAAGGACCTCTTATCTAAAAAACAAAACAATCCAAACTACTCTAAAGGAGGAATACTGCAAAACCAGAAATAGCAGCTGTACAACTAAAGGTGTGAGCTGTAGATGCGTAAAAAGCTTCACTTTGGCCCTTATGTGGGTGGCCATTACCTCAGGATAAGTGCAGTCATGACCCTGCTCCAGAGATCTTCAGTTCCATGTGGCAGGCACACCAAGTAGGGCTTTCTGAGCTGCAGCGATGTCTGTACCTCCCCTTGTGGGCAGTATATGCTTCAATGTGCACACGCCTTTTACCCGAATGATTTTGGTCCTAAAACATTATTTTATTAACAAAAATCTCTATTCTAGCTCACACAATAACTGTTCCCTCTCAAACTTGTGTCCCAAGGTTGCGTCACTTTTGTACTTGTTCCCAAGATTCATCCGCCACTTCATTTATGGGAGCAGTTGTTGTTGATTGCTGTCGAAGGGGAAGCCCCATTTTTAAGTGGGATTTACAGGTTAAAAACAAATTTCCAGGAGGGTGTAATATGATATTCCTTCAGGATGGGTTAACCAGCAATCTTTCCTTTGTAATCCCAGAGGAAGCCCCATCCTACTGTCTCACTGTGGAGCACTGGGGTGGGCGACCTGAGGCCTGGTCTGGGCAAGCTTGCTGACTGAGCATGAAGCAGGGCCTCCTCTACAGAGTCGGGGAAGTATCAGCAGCTACTCCAACCCATGGGATGGTGAGCAGACCTGACTTAGCTCTTCTCCCAGGCTTTCCCACAGTCAGATATGCACAGTAGAGGGTTGAAGCATGACTGGGAAAGGAACCCTGGCCAGGTGGAATTGACTTTGCTACTTGAATTGTTCTTCCTTGTCAGATGTCCAAATTTTTGACATGAACAATTGAAGCTTTCCAATTGACAGCTGAACTGATCCCCCAATGACATTGTTTTTAATCAAAAGCTGAACTGCTTCAGAGATTTTACACTCCCCCAGGGGTGCCAAACTGTAGTAGTTTCCATTGGATGAGCAAGGAATTTTATATTGGAATCTTCCTTTGGATTGCAATTCTTTAGGGTGAGCAACCATGCCTTCCTTCGTATTTGCATGGGATGTCTCTGCTCTGAACTGAGTCCTTTAGGTGCCAGGGGAAGAAAAGGTAGCAATAGCTCTACATTTGTTCAGAGCCTGTGCAAACCTACAGACTTTCCCCACACTTTCATTACTTAGTCTGCACAATGGTATACTGTTATTTATTAGTCTGAGTAATCATGCTGTAGAGTAATTAATTATGGTGTGAGCTAAAGATGGAACTACATCCCCACCCCACAAATCATGGCAGCATGACATAGCGGTCAGGTTGCATAGCATGCTAGGCCATTCTGTGATTAAGCCATCATGGGTTGCTTGTCCGCTGAGTAACCCACGCTACTCCCAACTGAAGGTTGTGTTTGTTGTGGCTTGTACTCTCATTAAGTTCCCTCCACTCTCCTGCTGGCCTTGGCATGTATACCAGACACCTTTGCAATGGATCTTCTTGTTACTCCAGACCCTGTGGCAGAACCTCTTCTTCATTAGTTTGCTGGCTATTAGGAGAACTCCCCTCCTTCCCCCCTCACAGTTCACCAAATGGGATTGATTTTAGGAGCCTTCATGAGTACAGAAACCCATTCACACACTTGTCTCTAGAGACATTCACTGTTGCACTAGTCCGTGTCTGTGGTATTTAGCCAAATGTTTCCATATTCTGCTCTTTCACTCCAGTGCTAGCTAGAAAGTACCCCCTGGGGGGTGGGGGAAGCTACCTCACTTTACGCTAAAGTAAGTGCACCCACTTTAAGTAAGAACACTCCCTGGCAGGGCATACTTGCCGCTCCTCTGGCTTCCTGCTTGTTGTTTCCCTCCATGGACCTCACCATCTCATCTTGATATGGGTTGAAGGCCAGTGAGCAGGACTGGGGAACATACACAGATGCCATGGCAAAGCACTAGCATGGAGAGGGTGTTGCAGAAATGAAAGGGCAGCTGTCAGCAGAGGAGGGAGGAGGGTGGCAAGATGAGTAAGATCGTGAGGAGTGGCGAGGGTTTTTGCTGCACTGGCAAGTGGCTTGTCATACTGTGTGAACCATACAGGGGGCAGGTTCTTACCTCCTGCTAAGGGACTGTGCAAATACTGAACAACCCACAATATGCCCAACAGACAGTTGGGCTTACCAGGCTTGTTCTCCCCCTTTCCCTCCTAAGTTCTCCCTCTTTCACCTTTTCAGTACTTCTTCGGGTCTCTAGCTACTCCAGAAAGGGGAGAGATTAGTGTCCTTCACCCTTTACCTCTACAGATCCCTGGCTGGGAAATGAATGGAGGAGATATTTGAGCACCTGCTTGAAACAGCAGCATACAGTAGTCTATATGCAGTTTTGCCTTTACCAGTCTGTTATCCGCTCCACTTCACTGCCCCCTTTGACAGCTGAAACAAACAGAAAATTGATCAGGCAAGACTAAACATATCAGACAGACTCAAGAGCACACTTGTAAAAGACTGACAACTATAACAGCAACAATAATCATGTATGTCTTTGAACAATTGTCTCGGGCCAGAAGGGTGGCAATCAGTGATGGTTGCTCCAAAGGGCAGCTTGGGCATCAGTAGAGGAACAGTCACTGGTGGCAGCACAGGTGAGGTTGCAAAGGGTGGCAGGGGTTTTTGCCACTCTTGCTATGACTGTTTGCTAGCCAATCCCCACAACACAGTGGAATCGCTCTGCCAGCTTTGGATGATCTGACAGCTCATCATGGTATGATTCTAGGTAACAGGGCAACATTTCCATGAACAGGAGGACTTCTGTCCCCTGCTGGATTTCATGCCTGATGATTTTTACTCCTGGTCCTTCTGCAGTTGCTCAGGTCCCTGGCATCCCTTATTTTCAGTCTACATCTTCTGCTCAGAATCTGGAGCTGCAGGCAAAACCTGCATGTGAGACACCTCTTTTTCCTATAGCTGCTTTTAATAGTTGTGCAGTTGATAAGCTGCAACTGCTGAAAATTCCTGTTCCATGCTAGTACTGAGGCTGTAGGAGAGCTGATCCCTTTTGTAACTGGCCGTTCTACATCTTTTAACCTTAAGGTGAATCTCACAGATGGAAACACTATGGCAACCTGTTTTCTAGATTTGGTTACTGCTTTCACCTTCGTGCTGTGCACCTAACATTGGACTGAAACCTGCAGCAGCCACACTTCAGTGCTGATAGTCTAAGCAGAATGCCAGGGTAGTAGAGGTTTGCATAGTACCGGCAATGGCCTTTGTCCATCCTCCAGGAGACTTAGTATAAGTTGTCTGAATAGTTCATCTTCTTTTCACTATATGTGCAGATTTACATAGTCCTTAGCAATTGCTGGAGAGCTTTAAAATGAGGCAAGTGTACTAATTTGCGAAAAGATGAATCTTTGTTTCTTAGCTTTTGAACAAGATGGTGAGTCATTTAGCCTTTTCTAATTAACCTTTCATTCCAGTCCTGACGCACCAGCAAGAGAACAGGAATGGGAATTGGAGGTGATCATTACTACCTATTAACCTATGTTATTCTACCTCATTCAGATAGGAAATTCGCTCTTTCTGTGTAATGAATTCCACAGAGTGTTGAAAGAAAGAGGATGGGAAGACTTCACAGATGAAATCAGGGAGTGCTAAAGGGCTGTCAGTGTTTTTCAGGATTAATTGGATTGTGTAGCCTGAACCACCATGGAGGGGGATTGTTTGAGCTGCATGAAGTATCTGATGTTTGTCTTCAATTTCTTCATATTTGTAAGTATTCTTTTTTCCCTGTCATGTACTGTCTCTTACATGCCTCTCTCTTTGTAGTGGCTGTGTTTTGGTTGAGTTACTACAATGGATCCTTTAAGATTCATATATAACAGCACCTGAAACATACCTAACACCTCTCATCAGAATCTCCTAGGACATTTTACATCCATGGAGTATTGGCACCCCTGATGAGGAGGTAGAATACTCATGCTTCAGGATCTAATAAGCACCTGTAAACATAATTGTGAATTAATGTGGTTGTAGAACAGGTTGTAGAACAAGGTAAGAGAATTATCCAGTCACTGGGTATATTGTCAGTCTGGGATTTTATTACAGCATAGGCTATGGTTGCCTACTTTCTTAGGGCAGTATCCTGCTGCTACCACAATGGGGATCCAGTAGTTCCAGAAGCAGCCAGAAATGAGCAGAGCCACTTGTTTCTAGAATGGGTCTCGGCAATGAAGCTCACAGAGGGAAGCGCTGCTGACCTGACCTGGTCCAAAAACAAACATTTTAGCTTGTCTCTGGGGTTTCTGTAAGGAGCGCTGACTCCCCAGTGTGTTAGTGGTGAGGGAAATCAGCAGGAACACTACAGCAGTACTGAATCTTTTCTCCCCCAAGCCATTTTTTGAGGTATGAGTAATACGAAATCAGAAACTATGCAGAACATACATAATTATGCCTATTGTATCTATATGTTTTGCGAACCTCTTTCAGCACAATGTATTTTGGAAAATGCCATATGCAGACAAATTGACTATAACTATAGGAATACCTGTGCTCAACATTATTAGGTCAAACAGACTTAATGCTATTAGCATGGCCCACATAGCAATAGGAGCAATCAACCAACGTGATATGGTGTCACATCTCTCCACTATGCAGTCATCATTTCCAAAGTTCAGCTTCTTGTTGTTGAGGAAACCATTTTCTGAAAGCAGCTGTAGGTTGTGAATGTGCTGCCTATCCAGTACGGCTAAGCATTCTGAAAAGTCCTTTGATTACATTCAGTTGATATATAATAACATAGGATAAGAAATGGCTTACACAGTGAAGGGACATTTAGCAGCTCTACCAAGTACCTCTTTGTTTCCCAGAATGAGAAGAAGCTTGGCAAAGATGGAGTCTAAGCAACTGAAGGCTGTGAAGCTTTCTCTGTCCTTTTTATATTAATGCTTTTTCCTGGATCCCTGGAGATCCTCTTTGCCTGTAGACTAGTTACAAGAGACCGTGAAAAAGGACAAGGAGAGTAATACATTACTGGAATAGTTGAAACACTGGGCACTTCCTGCTGTAAACTATCCTAGCAATGAAAAGCAATAGAGAAGATTTCTGATCAGGAGAAGCTGTAGAGCGCTTGTCTCCTAATGAAGCAATTCTTGGTTAGAACTTCTTGCTGGGTTGTTGCAACCAGTGAGGGTAGAGGTTTTATTCTAAATCTTGCTTTTTTATGACAGCTGGGTGGTACATGTCTCCTGGGAGTCGGAATATGGGTCATAGTAGATCCCACAGGATTTCGAGAGATAGTGGCTACTAATCCTCTGCTCTTCACTGGGGCGTACATCATGCTGGCCATGGGAGCAATGCTGTTCCTGCTGGGGTTCCTCGGCTGCTGCGGAGCCATTCGTGAGAATAAATGCCTCCTTCTCTTCGTAAGTACTGCTAGTTGCTTTTGTATTTGCTTTTCTCGGTATTTGGCCTTCTTGGCTAGAACAGCTGGTAGAGCACTGCTGGTACAGATTCTGGTGGATTTTACTCACTTCTTTTATTGTCTTTGAGTACAAGGCACCTTTTGTAAAGTTGAAAGCTAAGGACTTCTCATTTTATAAGTGCTGTGAGCTGCTTTGAAGACTCCAGTTGTAAAGTTTCATATGATCTACTAAATGCTTAGCAATAATTAACTCTGAAGATAGATAGATGTGCACTCTATAGTTCCAGTTGTAGACTGCTTAGTACATATCATTTAATCTCAAGTATAAGAAAAAATACTATATTCAACAATATGTAGTATTTCTACAGACTTCTCCAGATATAATATGCTAGTTCTAACAAACCACAGTTTAGAAAACCATTAAACTTCAAGGAGTTCAAGGAACTGTGGTTTGTTTGAAAGTGGAATCAGGTCCTTCTGATCTTTCACTCACAGCTGTGGAAAGGGAAGGGATCATGCATACCAGAAGCTTGTTACAGATAGAGTGCCTTGCAGAAGTATTCATGCCCCTTTTGCTTTTCTGCATGTTGTTGCATTACAACCTGAACTTTAGTTGACATTGTTATCACCTAATATATGCAAGAAACTCAAAATTTAGAAGGTGCAACATATTTTTATTGTGACTCAAAAGATAAGTTGACAAATACAAAACTGGAACTTTTTGGTTATGTAAGAATCCTTCTCTTGAGTCAATACATGGTGGAAGCATCTTTGGCCACCATAACAGTTGTGTCTTCTCAGACAGGTCTGTATCAGCTTTGCACATCTGGATCCTGCAAGGCTTGCCCATTCTTCCTGGGGAAACTGGTCCAGATCTGTCAGATTATATGGGGACCACTATTCCACAGTACCTTTCAAGGTTTGCCACAGATTCTCATCAGATTGAGGTCTGAGCTTTGACTGGGCCAGTCTAAGGCAGTCTTGTTTTAAAACCACTTCAGTGTTACTTTGGCCATGTGTTTAGGGTCAGTGTCCTGTTGGAAGGTGAGCCTCCACTCCAACCTCAGGTCCGTTGCAGAGTGAAGCAGGTTTTCTTCTAGAATTGCCCTGTATCTGGATCCATCCATCTTGCCCTCAGTCTTCACTAGTTTCCAGTCACTCCTGAGAAAAGGATCCCAGCATCATGATGTGCCGCCACCTTGCTTCATCAGGAGCATGCGGTTGGCGAGGCAAAGAGCACTGTTAGCTTTGCTCTACGCACAGTGCTTTGCAGCATGGCTATGACATTCCTTTTGGGCTCATCAGACTAAAGAAACTTTTCTCACATGTTTGCTGCGTCTCCCACTTTTTTTTTTAATAAACTGCAAATGGACTTGAATATGGAGCCATTTCAGCAATGCCTTTCTTCTTTCCACTGTTCCATCAAGCCTAGCATTAGGGAGTGTCTGGTCAGGAGTTGCTCTGTGATTTGTTTCTCCCATCTCAGCTGCAGTTCTTTCCAGCGCCTTCAGAGTTACCACCGGCCTCTTGGTTGCTTGTGACCTTCCTTACCCAGTCACTGAGTGCTGGTCAACAATACTCTCTAGGAATTGCTGCAGCTGAGCAGTGTTTTTTCTTTGTTGACCATGCTGTGGGGAATGTTTCTATTTTTTAATAGATATAAACCAACCCTGATTGGTGTTTCTGCGCAACTTTACCTTGGAGTTTTGAAAGTTCCTTTGTCTCCATGATGCTGTTTATATCTACGCTCCAACAAATTCTGGGGCTTTCCAGAAATCCATTATGTAATCTGAGATCATGTGGCACCGAAATGTACTCAGCTGGGCTACATTGAATTCCTCGTGTGACCTTTGAAGGCCGTGCGTTGCACCAGGGCTTATTTAGGCACATCATAGAAAAAGGAAGACCACTTATGCAACCAACAAGTCCCAGTTTGTTTTGGTTTACTAAACTTTTGTTTCACATTGAAATATCTTGTATATTCACAAAGTTGAGAACCGTAATAATGTTAGTTCAATCCATTTCAATTCCAGCTTGCAACACAGCAAAAAAGTCAAAGGTTGTTGCAAGGTGTGCCTGTGAATATTTCTGGAAGACACTGTTGTTGAAGAGGTTATGGCTTCCTGGGCTATCTGATCTGTGGCATCTTCAAATACTCTATTCAAGGCCTGCTGTGGTTGAGTGCATTTGTGAGAACTCCATGTCATGTATATACGTACCCTTTATGTGCATTTACTCCACAACTTTACAAAACCAGTTCTGTGCCAGAGACACTGACATTACATACCCAGGTTTAATCATTCATCATGTCGCAAAATGGACCCTACTTTGTCAGCCTTCTAAGAGAAAGAGAATTCCTAAAACTGAGGTATCAGTTTCTAAGAAATTTGTAAGCCAACAAATCCAGTGTAGCTAAGGTTTACCATATTGCATCTGGGTGCAAGTAGATGCAAAACCTGAGGGGCATGGATCGATCGATCGATCGATCTATCTATCTATCTATCTATCTATCTAAATATGGAGATGCATTGTGTAATTCAAGAAAGCCTATGACTGAATTCCTGAAGAGTAATGTTGTGCCCATCCCAGGCCATGAATGTGGCTCATTCCTTGATTTGCTTTCTCCTGTGTGCCCGGGAATGTGCCTAAGGCAACATTTTGCAAAGCATTCCCTGCCCAACAACTTGCACCCATCCATCCACTTCATGGGGAAGAGGTAATTACTCTCTCCGCTCCCTTGGCTCCTCTCTTTCTCGCACATGCACATTAGCTGGAGAAGAGAGCTGGAATCACTTTCAGGCTGTGGCTTCGCCACACTCCAGCCCGTTGTTGGGCAAGGCCGGGCCAGGCCTGCCACAGAGTATGACTGAGCAGATGCCATGCGGATTATTTTCCTCCACAAGAAAAAGGGCGGGAAGATGGGCACTCCTCAGAGCAGGTGCCTGCATGTGTAAGAGGCTTTGCAGCACTCCTTTGATTCTTGTGAACAGCAAAAGTACAGTCAGTACCTGCCCAGCTCACTGCGTGCTTTCATAGCCAGGTGAAGCATACCTTGTGGCTGTTGCTGCATGAAGAGGATGAAAGAGGTGCCAAGGCAGGTGGGGAGCTGAGTCCAAGCTCCAGGCCCAACCTAGCCTTCACCAAGGCTAGTATTGTTTATGGGCCAAAGTGGCCCAGACTGAGCTGACTCAGTATGTGTGGGATCCTAACAGAAGGGGTGCACGCACATCTCATCACGTGCACAGAGCTGGTAGGCAAGCAGCCGGCAGGCGTTATTCGTCTGACCCCTGAGGGCCACATGTGCTTTGCTGCGTTGCTGCTTCTCCCAACAGCTGGAAGTTGGCAGTGCTGCAGCAATGGAAAAGGGAGTGTCCAGTTCCCTACTGGAGAAAACGGCCTGTATGGGTCACTTGCATATATTTCCTTCTCTGTGGAATATGGAGCCATTATGCTGCTGGATTCTTCCTGCTCCAGGCTCATCTTTCTTCCAGCCCCAGCCCAATTCTCAGTATGGAAGGGGTACTTTGCAAGGGCATGCTCTGTGGAGCTGGAGGCTTCGCAGGACTATTCAGAAATAAATCCTTCTGACTGGAGTTAGTTTGGGTACATGTGGATCGGATGCAGTCCTCAGCACTTAGGCATGCCTAAGATCCCATTGCCTTAGAAAGAAAGCTGGCTGGGGCTCGGAAGGGGAGGAAGGCAGATGAAGGTGGGAATTAAGTTGTGTGTGGATGAGAGAAAGAGGGGTGAGTAGATAAGCAGAGCAACCTATGTAGTCCGACTTTGAAATAAGTCCCACAATGAGCAGATTGCAACTTAAGGAATGAGGAAGGACAGAGGCAGACAATTGAGGCAGGGGAGCATAAGTGTGTGTGTAAGTGTGCAGAAAAAAGAGATGTAAGGAAAAGCAGGCATACCAAGCAATCCTATGTAGATCTGCTCAGAATTCCATTACAGAATCTACTCAATGGGACCGTTGAGTCCAGTGGGACTTCTTATGACAAGATTGTAGCCTTGTAGTCAGTTTCTTGGACAAACTACTTCTGTCTCCATGTCAACAGTTTGTCTTCTGTGAAACAGATGTTTCGTTGTGCCACGTGGGGTCAAGAATAGGTATTCCCTTTGGGATTCAGACTAGACTCTGCCTTGCACTCCATTTCTTGTGCGTCAGCCTCACCAGTTTGCCTTCCATGAAATGAGTTCCCATAGTATCAGCTTCTCTGAACTAGCTGTGCCAAATGACTCTGTGTGTGTGTGTGTGTGTGTGTGTGTAAGGGGGGCTTATGCACAGATTGGTCTGACAAGGTGTTCATATTTCTTCAAGGAAGGTTATGGGTTTATATGGTAGCTGGATTAGGGGGAAAGTGTTATTTCCATGGACTGATTGAAATCCAAATCCTCCTAACAAAAGTTTTTGAAAATAGATGAGCGAAAGGCTTCCTGAGTGATATTATGCAGCAATACATAATGAATGCCTGAAGCTTTTAGCTCATGTATAAACTCAAGTCAAGGGGACAGCATGGATAAAAGGCAAGGGAGAAGCATGGCATCCCAGGGGAAGTTCTCAACTCAAGTTTCTTTCCACACAGAGATGATTTTGAGCAATATATTTTTATAATAAATGTTGCTGTTGAATCAAGCATCAGGCTGTGCTATGTGCCATGGCCCCTAAAGCTGTTTCAGTCGTGGGATTTAGCATGCTTGTATGTTTGTTTGTTAAAGCAAAAAAGAAAACCAAAGCCCCTGCAGGCTGCCTGGAAAACTTGTACAGTAAGTTAGCCTGTGGAATATCCTAAAGTTATTTGCCTTTCTCCTTGATGAAACCCAAGTCCATGGTAGATATTTGCATTTTGCAAGTCTGTAATTCATTTTAACTGTTCAGTAGAAATCAGTTCTGAGATGCCCATCTAAGCATTCCTCTTCCCTGTATCACCACCCTGGAAACAGTGTGAAGGAAAGAAAAAGGGAAAGAAAGGTCAAAGGACAAACTAGTGTCATAATTTTTTATTGAGTTTGCCTTTAGTATGCACAGTCACAGTATTACTTGCGCGCACATATGGAGAAATGAGCCTGAGAAAGAAATTGCCCAAGGCCAGCCTGTGCTACCCTCACAGAAAATCTTTATATCAAAATTAGAGAGAAATGCTTTCATAGATAAAATACCAATGCTGTGTGTGTGTGTGTCCCAAAGTGTTCTGATTATGAGCAGAAGGAACATCTGCCAGACTAGATCTGTTCTCCTTGCCTGCTGCAGCGGTTGGTGCTACAGTGTCCTGGAAATTCCTCTGATGTGCCGGAGAGCCTATCCAGGAGGCCATCGTGGAGATGAGCGGGGTGGGATGTCCTGGCGCAGTCTGCTTTATCTTGGTGCCCTTCAGACTTCAACTCCCATCTGCCCTACCCTGTATAGTCAATTATCAGGGATCCTTCAAATCGTAGTTGAAAACATCTGGAGGACACCAGGTTGGGGAAGACTGCCCCATGCATGAATGAAATGAAACTTGCCTTTCCTTTTTCTCTTTCAGTTCTTCATGTTTATTTTGCTCATCTTCCTGGCAGAACTTTCAGCTGCAATCCTGGCTTTTATCTTCAGAGAAAATGTAAGTATTACACTGACAATAGGATGGGAAGTTCTCTAAGCTCCTGCAGGATGTGGTTCAGGTGGGATTCAAGTCAACATCTCAGGTGTATGCTGAGCAGACATTTGTGTAAGGTATCACTGAACTGTTCCTTTTATTACTCTGGGTTCAAACACTCCTCGGCTGCCTTTTGAATGTAAGCAGACACAGCATCTGTCAAGTAGATGGTTTATATGCAGAGGGGACAGCTTACTTCCCAAAGATTTTCAGGCTTAAGAAGCTTATGCAGGCACATGCTTTAAAAATAAATAAATACTAGTTCATAATTAAAATTGAATTAGTTTTAGCTTCACAGAATAGGGACAAAATGAATCATGGTTCTTGAGTTTAAAAACACTCAGTACTGGAAAAAAAAACCTTTTACCATATTTTTTTCATAGTGCCAGTGGGAAGAATCTGTAATATGCTGGGTCTGTATTGCAGTGTTCATCCATACAATACCATCTTTGCTGAAAACAGTGCTGTTAATTATACTGGGTCCAGATGGGGCACATGTTCTTTTGACAAAGGGGCTGTAATTTCATGTTTGGACTGTCGTATTTGAAGTCCCCCTTAAAACAAAACAAAATAGGATTAATGATTGTGGTTTTTGTTTCCTGGTTACTTTAAAGAGTTGCACAGATTCAATCCTCAGTGGTTATGCTTACTAAATAGGAAAAGGCAGCAGTGCAATTCTTTACTTTTGTGGTTTCCTCTCTTGTAATTTCCAGAACTGTGCAGTCCTAAGCACAGATTTTTTTGAGGGTTTTAAAAGGAGTGAGGAAATGGGTGGGGACAGGGAAGGGACTGGAAGCAATGGGCCCCAAAATACCTTGGCACTTGTTTTCCTAGTGATTCAACCCTATGTGTTCACGTACTTTGCCTTGCATTTATTTGGACTATTATTTGGAGAGAGAGAGAGAAACAAGCATATATGTGATCTTGCTGCACATGTGCCAAGGCTCAGGTGATGAGACAAGCTGTTGTGAACATACGTCTTTGCTTTTGCTCTTTGCTGGAATGCTACAAATCTTTTCCTATCAAATAATGATAGGAAAATAATGATGAGAGAGCACATGAGCAGACCATTTTAATTTAAGCATTTCAGCATTTAATTATAGTTTGAAGGCTTCTCATAATCAGGCTTTGCATCCAGATATAAACAAGTTAGTGTTACGAAGTCATGTGTATTTCCATTATATATGCGTTCGCTGTATTATTCTTAACCTGTCTCATATGCTGTGAAATGGGAGTTCACTGATTTTAGGGCAATGACAGTGAAGGCCAGTCTGAAATAAGGCAGCCAGTGTGCATGAGCAAGGCCTCTATTGCAGTGCCCCTCACTGTGAACAATGTACTGCTGTGCTCTGTGGTTCCATAGGCCAGGAAAATGGTGAGAACACCAGTGGAATGTCCTAAATGCACTTTGCTCACAGAGCCCATGAGGTCTAAATATGCAGTGCTGGTCACACCAACCTAGCCTTCCCCAACCTGGCATTCTCCAGCCCAAGTCAGCATGCTAGACTACTAGGAATGATGGGGGTTTTAGACCAGGACATCTAGCCTGACCCAGGCTGGGGTAGGCTGCTCTGATTTCAAAGGACTAGTTGTCATACAAGTCTGGGTGTCAAGAAGCTGTTGGAATGCTGGTGCTAATTATGGGTACAGTCTTTCAACTCAAATTGTTCTGAATGCCATCAGTCAATAGCATGGTAAATGAACACAGTGATTGCAGCTTAAAAGCCCATCTTAAATCTGCAGTCAGTTGTTTAATGCTGACAAATTATTGATTAATTAGCTTAATTCAAATTAAAATTGCCAATGGTGTTTAATTTGGTTTTAATTGTAGCATCCTTACGTGACATAAGTTTGGGACAGATGGAACAAATAACTTTTTGTTGTTGTTTCCAAGTGTTTGTTTTCATAATCAATATGCGATTTTTCTTTGCAACTTGGAGAAAGGAACACTCCCTTTATAGGTCTTCAAAACATCACCTGCATTGAGATACTGTAATATTTCAACTGGTTATTTTCTTACTCTGGTGAAAGGAAAACAATCAGCTAAAGAAAGCTCTTTAATAGTTTGACAGCCCCAATTCTAGTGTGTTGTGTTGAGGAGAAGGAATTAATGAGGGAACAAATACAGAATAACCTTGCAACTGACTTAACAAGAATTTAACATGGGTTTAATTTATTCCAAAGGGGCTATACTTTTCTCATTAAAAAAGATGTTAAAGAAAGAAGTATAGAAAAAGAAGGATAAAACAGTCACATCTGTCCAAAGGTTAAAAGGGGAGAATATCTCCTTTGTTAGCTGGTGGCCTACACAACTGCACAGAGGGAAAAGAGTGATGCTTTGTAAACAGTTTAGATTCCCCATTCCAAATAGGAATTTGGAGACAGGGAGAACAGGGAGAAAGCATAATTGTGTCTTGGTGGTAACAGCTATTGCACTATAGATAGTGATTGCATCCTGTAGGTCTGGTCAATACAGCTCTTGTTTTCTGATTAAAGTCTTCCATGAGAACAAAAGTAGAAGACCTCACACAAAGAGGGTAAAACCACACACATGCACAATGCACTGGATTATGCATTTGACCATTACCAATCCAGGAATGTTTCTTTCTTTTGTTTTTCTACATGGAGGGGAGATCCATTTCCCTGTGATAGCTCTGGCATCTGGCATAGAACTGCTGAGCATGCTGCAGTTATTAGAAGTGAAACCAATAATGGACTAAGAATAATGAAACTTTGCTCAGCATTATTTGCACAGCTCTGCCCTTAAGTGCAGGGTTTTAAAAAGTATCCCAGTGCAGCGATGTGTGATCCCAAGCTCCTGCAGTTTTCCTTGCCAAGAAAGCTACCATTTGTTTTAGTGCCGAATTCAGGGGTGGGGCCTGATCCCATCCATTGACTGCATCCATTTGCTGCATCTGCACTCTTGCGGTCCTCTTATCCACAAAGTCCTCAACTTGTGCTGAATATGCCTGTGCTCAGGGTTGCCCTGACATTTTATGATTGGAGGCAGCTGTTCTGAGCAATCCAAGACATGCATTCGTGGATCCTTCAACTATCACCATGGGTGCTGGGTCATTACCTCTGGAACTTGCTTTGCCCCATAGCGTTGGCCAAGCAGCCATTGCAATAATGCCAGGGATTGTGAAATGCACCTTTCAGATGACATGTACTGCACTGTCCCTTAAATAAATGGTTGTCTCATCAAGTATCCTGACCTTCACAAGCATTCAAGTCCTCACAGTCTGATACTAGCAGAAGTAGGGCATGTGTTGTCCATGTTTCAGGTGATGATATCAGCTCTAAAGTCTGCCTGTCCAGTTAGCCATATCTATACTGTCCTTGAGTAGAAAATGATTGGAACAGTTTACAGTGAAAATGCACAATCATAAATGCAAGAAAACAGCAAATAATCCAAAAGAGTTTTTTTAAAAAAATAAAGTTTAAAATGGTAATAATCCTTAGGAATAAATAGAAATATCACTTATTAGCTGGAAAACGGTATTAATTTAAGTACCCAGGGAAGCTTTCTGGAAAGAGCATTGTATAAAAAGAATATGAAAACAGAGAAGTCCTCCCAGGCACCAACTGTTTTCATTGGTGGGGAAGCATCTCCCCAAGAAGGAAACCTTCAAGAAGGATGATCGTTGCACATAGTCAGGTTGATATGGAAGAAAACTTTCCTTCAGGTGTCTGGGTGCCAAACTGTGGAGGAATTTCAGGATAAGCACCAGAATTTTGAATTGAGCTTAAAACTGAGCTGGAAGATAGTGGATCTTTAAACACTGGATCTTTAAATCTTTAAATAGTAGATCTTTAAATAAAGATGTATTTCCAAGGAATAGTCCCAATCAATACCTTAGTGCCTGCATTTTAATCCCTTTGATTCCCAGACATTCTTCAAAGGCAGCCCCATGAACATTGCAGTAGTACAGTTTTGAGATTACCAGAGAACCTAAACATAGCTAGGTTATTTTTGTCCAAGTGTGGAAGGAACACTAAGCATCCACAGTCTCCAGTCCTGAATGCCAACCTGCCTTGGACAAGTTGAACAACATTTGCCATAATCCATCCACCAACTTGAAGAGTGGTATTTAGGCCGGACCTGTGGACTGACATTCACTGTTGAAGTTGTTAGAAGAATTCTGAAATAACCAATGTCTACAGAAATGTTCCACTCTTGGAAAGTGCATCCACCCTATTTCCAGGCGTCCCTTCTCCCCAAGACATCACAGCTTACCTCATTGAGCAGGATTGCCCAGTCCCCAGTTTAGTATGTCAAGACACTGGAACGTCTACTGTCAGAAAGAGGGAGCAAGGAAGACTGCTTCCGGTCCAGTTGCACCTGCCTAAATTTGGATCCAAAATGCTACACAACTTAGAAAGGAAACTTCCAAGCTGATATACTGTCACTGAGAAACTGGCAGGTGGCTTAGAGGATGTCCTCTTCCATCCATCTACTTTAATATTACAAGGAGATAATAAAGCACTTATTAATTGCTGCACAATTTGTATCACTCAAAGGGTGGCACTGCCTTAGGATTTTCCTTTGACAAAGCACCTTTCCCAAACAAAATGTCCCCACTTTTCCTTTGGGATTTTGAGCAACTGGACAGCATCACTTCCCTCAAACACTGCCTACCTACCTGCCAAAGTAGCTGATCAGGTTGGACATTTCACTGATTCACACTCTTTGTGTTCTTCCCAACCATCAAGAGTTCTTTAACTGCATCTCTCAGTTTGCCGTCTCATCTTCACCATGTATCCTAATTAAGTCCTGTTGAAAAGAACAAATCACTTTATGTTATCTTTTTACTGGGTGAGTGCTGTGTATGAGAGATTAGAAGATGTGGTACCCAGATTTCTTTAAAATAAGCTTTTTATCTTCAAGAAAAAAAAATAAGTAAATCCAGATAATGATTAATCACTAATGGAATCTGTCTTGGCGCAGCATGAGTCTTGGAGCT